CCCCAGGAACGCAAAATCCTCCCCAAAACGTCCAAAATCCACCCCCCAAACCCAAAATTCCCTCCAAGTACCCAAAATTCCCTCCCAGGAACCCAAAATTCCTCTTCGAGGACACAAAATTTCCCCCAAATTCCTCACCAAAGACCCAAAATTCCCCCCAGGGACCCAAAGTTCCTCCCCTAAACCCCGAAATTCCCCCACAAGGGCACAAAATTGCCCCCAAAAACCCAAAATTCCTCCCAGGGACCCAAAATCCTCCCCAAAACATCCAAAATTTCACCCTCCAAAACCTAAAATTTCCTCCCAAAGACCCAAAATTCCCCCCAGGGACATAAAGTTCCCTCCCAAAAATCTAAAATTCCCCCTCAAGGTCCCAAAATCCTCCTGAAAAACCCAAAACTTTCCCCCAGGAACCCAAAATTCCCTCTCAAGGACCCAAAATTCTCCCCAAAAGACCCAAAATTCCTCCTCAAGGACAAAAAATTTCCCCCAAAGACCCCAAATTCCTCACCAAAAACCTGAAATTCCCCCCAACGACAAAAGATTTCCCCTCAAGGACCCAAAATTCCTCCCCAAAAACCCAAAATTCCCCTTCAAGGACCCAAAATTCCTCCCAAAACCCCAAAATTCCCCCTCAAGGACCCAAAATCCCCCTCAAGGACCAAAAATTCATCCCCAAGAGCCCAAAATTCCCCCCAAACACCACCAAAATTTCCCCCAAAAGACACAAAATTCCTCCCCCAAACCCCAAAATTCCCCCTCAGGAACCCAAAATTCCCTCCCAAGGACCCAAAATTCTTCCCCAAGGACTCAAAATTCCTCCCCAAAAACCCAAAATTCCCTCTCAAGGACCCAAAATTCCCCCAAAAAGACCCAAAATTCCTCCCCCAAACCCCAAAATTCCTCCCCAAAAACCCAAAATTCCCTCCCAGGGACACAAAATTCCCTCCCAGGGACACAAAATTCCCTCCCAGGGACACAAAATTCCCTCCCAGGGACACAAAATTCCCTCCCAGGGACACAAAATTCCCTCCCAGGGACACAAAATTCCCCCCCAAAAACCCCAAACATTTTTAGGGCGCTCCCAACCCCTCC